GTAGCAGATAGACATTTACTGTGAGTGCTTTGTGGTTTTTTTAATCTCACTTTAGATAGATATTTAGATTATCTCCATTTTACAATATCCTGGTTATTCCTATTTTACAAATACAAAGTGGAGTTCAGAGACCACAAAAATCTTGCCTTCGTTCACAGAGATTGTTACTGGTAGAAATAAGCTTATATCCAGGGATGCTCAACTCCAGTGTCAATTTATTTATTTATCTATTTTCCCCGGTACCAGGAATCGAACTCACAACCTCATGCTTGCCAGGCAGGTGCTGTGCCACTGAGCTAAATCCCCAGCCCTTCCAATGTCAATTTAGAAGAGCAACCAAAACATACCAACACTATGGTTGCTGAGTTCTGAGATCCTCGACTTGAGGAGCCGTTCCCTGGATCCCTGATTTTACTTTTCTGGTCTTGTCATTCATTATCTTCTATCCTGTCCCTTCCCATTCCCTGAAACAAGTTCATTCATAATTATAGTTGTGGTGTGGAGGGAGATTCTCTTTTTCTGTGCCTTAGAGAGAGAGAAGAGAATATGCAGAGAGGAGGCCACTAATTAGCTGGTCCCAGCCCTTCACCAGGCCAGCACGGTTTCTTTATTTTTAAGGCTTCAAGGCAGGGGCCAGGCTGGGCAAAGAACAATGAGTAAGTTGTGGAGGTGATGCTTTAAAGGATACATTCGCTAATGAAAAGGCTCTCCATGGGTTCACTTATTAATAACTTGACTCAAACAGCCATGTCCTACTGTCAGCTTGCCATTGAGGACCCAGGATGACCTTAGAATTGTCAGCTCCACCTGAAAAAGAGCAAATGTAGCAGAAAATACAGAAGCAGCAGCATAATTTGGAGTGGGAAGATTAGCGACAACAGGCAAAGCTTTTGAATGTCTGCATTTCCAGTTTGCTGTGAAATTATGCCAGAAGTGTAGCTATTTGAAGAACAGGCTAACCTTGCAGTATTTGGGTTTGCGTCTGATTTGTAAACAATAGGATGACTTTATTGAATGTTTTTAAAGGCTGGGTGACAGTGCTGGTATTAGAGGAGTGACTAGCACAGCTCCTTTCTTGGCTAATTATATAGTGTGGATCTTCTTGATGTTTTTCAGGGCACCGGGGTTTTTAACTTTATGTTCAGAAAATGATTTATGGGGAAAATACTTCTGTACAGATCTTGCTTGACAATTGGGGGATCATTAATGATATATGGGTGTGAAAGTTTATGATACTTCCCATTTATATAACCTCATTTACCCAAAAACTCAGTGCCCTTGGCATCAATTATTGAATTAAACCTTTTAATATTCCTCTGTCAAATGTGAAATGTGTATTTACTCCTCTTTTATAGCTGGACCGACAGGGCTGTGATAATTTGAAGTGTCCTTTTTGAGGGATGAGCAGATCTTACCCCCAAGCTTTGCATCCTTGGCTAAAGGCTACCCCTTAAATGTACACTGATAAGTAAATGTCCCCCTTTAAAATTCCTATTTGCATTCTCATTAACAATTCATGATTCCTACGCATCTGGTGCTTTCTTTGTGCAAAGATAAACAAACGTAGTTTTTTGTTGTCAAGCTCTGATTGTAAAACTAGAAATTTTCCAAGGTGAAATGAATTCCTAGCAATCTTACAGCATGCAGTGTAACAGTTTTCATTCTCACGGGTGAACAAGTCATGTGTGTTGGTGATAAAAATTATTCAAAGGACAATTGAATGATGATATTTTGAAGTGTAATCAGCAGTATGGGTCAGAAAAGCACTGTGTATGGTTCAACCCCGTGGGAGTTGATCCCGTTTTCATGCCGACCCCTCAAAGACCTTTATCAGAACTTCCAGGCCCATGTGTCCTTCCACATGATCCACCTGCTTCTCACTTTGTCGCTCTGTGATTTCTGAGTAATCAGGTCATTTCTCTCAGGCTCTCAAACAGCCCCACTACTCACACGAGCTTCTGTTCTTTTCCTGTCTTTGGCTATCAAGTCACGAAGCCGAGCAATAATGAAAATGGGTTTCATTAAACAGGAATCCTACTTATTTTCTCAAACCGCTATGCTAATAATCTCCCTTCTCAATATAAAGGCTTAAACACATACCAATATAACTAGTTTTTTTCAGCCTTTTTTTTTTCTAAAGAAGATTATTTTCTGAGGATAAAAATATCTCTCTTTAAAAATCCAGGACTTTGTTGTCAGAAATGAAGATCTGAAGTGTATAGAATTCTTTCTTTGCTCCAGAAGTGAATGGAACTTGAAATTCCCACCTTTTAGTCATTCAGCTTTTAAAATGACCAAGAGATATAAAGAGCTAAAACATTTCCTCACTAAAGCATGAATTTTGCAGACCCTTATGAATAAATCAAGATGGGTATTAGAATATAGACATAGTTTGTCGGCAGATGAATATGAGTATTAGAAGTATGATTTTTTTTCTGGGAGAGCTGAAACATGTAGCGGGACACACATAGTATAGTATGGAAGGAACAGTAAACCCTCAGAAACCTGAATGTGCATTGTGTCTTTCTTGAAGAAAGCCGTCCCTAAGTACAATGTCACCCTTCTCTCCTGGCAGGTTGCTATTGCAGGTCCAGTTTTGATTGGAGTTGAATTTTGTCAGCTTCTGTAGTCTCATCTAATGACTGCAGTTCTAGTTGAGTATCTCACTTCCCATTTACCCTAGAGACCTGTTTTGTAATCGTCATCCTGACATTCTGCATCACAGCCTCAATCTTCTTCGTCTTCCCCTTTTTCCTGTCATGAAGTTCCTGATCATCAGCAAGAAGTCAATTTTGACTTTTTTTTTTTTTTACTCTCTGGAGCTTTTAAAGCTCTTTGCAAATACAGGAGCATGACCCTGGAAATTTCTTTTCCTTCAGAAAGAGAAAAAGCTCCACTTGTCAATCAGTCATCCTGAACGGGAGTTCTTACAAAGGAGCTCAGAGCAGCCCCTGTTGCAATCCATCAAGGTGGGGATGGGGTGGGAGAAAAGAGCGGGTCAACTTAGTAATAACTGTGATCAACTGTAAATCTAGCTTCAATTATGACATATATTGCCTTCCACAATACTCCAAGAGCAAAGATGCACAAAAGAATGGAAGAAGACTAAATCCTTTGTTGGTGGGCAAGTTTACAGAGCAAGGCATCTGATTAATTAAATTTCTTGTTAATTGAATGTCATCCTATTTACTCAGGAAGCTTGAACAGAGCAAGGGTTTTGGTGGAATGCAGAAAGATGAATTTTTTCAGCTGTTCATAATTCGGCAATTCACCCATACTGCTTTGTAGCTTTCTGCTGCCTCTTAAATTTGTCTTACTTTTTAGTGAGGAGTCTGTAATGTTATGTCACTCAGGATGTTATAATAAACTTTAGAGCAGAAGTGTTTTTTTCCATCTTAATAAAACCTGTTCAAATATTTCAGATAGTAGACATTCATTAATTATTTGCTGAGTTGAGCTGAGTTTTCCTCTGCAATATATTTTTAAAAATGTTATATTGCCACCTACAAATACCCACTATGTATGTCGATGTCTAACTTTTTAAAAAAGGGCTGAAAATATGAAGTTAGTGTGTAGTTTGATGACTTTTCTAAAATTTAAAAGCAAAAGTTTTTCTTTTTTTGCAGCGGGAATCTAACTCAGGACCTTGAGCTTGCCAGGTAGATGCTGTGTTGCTGAGCTATATCCCTAGCCAGCAAAAGCTTTTTTTAAAACTCAAATATTTGCAAAATGAAACCTAAAGTGCTGAAATTTAACTTTTTTTGAAGTATATGTGTATACATATAATGTACATGTGTATGTAAATATGCACATAATGTATCTGAAATATATACAACTATGCTGGGAGTGGTGGTGCATGTCTGTAATCCCAGCACTCCAGAGGCTGAGGCAGGAGAATTGTTGCGAGTTTGAGACCAGCCTGGGCTACAATGGGCACTCAAGATCAGCCTGAACTGCATAGGGAGACCCTGTCTCAAAAAGAGAAAAAAATAAAATAAAATAAAAATGAAATATATACAACTAGAAATTTAAAAAGGTAAAATGGATCGTAGAACAATGAAATCCTTTTGAAACACTAGAAATATAATTTACAGAAATTAAAAGTGATTCAATGACAAGTATTTGTTCAGCAACTCCTAGCTGTACAAGGCTGCATGGGTTACTTGAAAGGTACAAAAAATTAGGATGCTAGAGAGATTGAAATTTTGCAAAATGGAAAGGGACTGAGAGAGCAGGAGGGGAAGGGGATGGGACGGAAAGATAAGTAAGATGTGTTATGTACATGTGCGAACTCCCCATACTAAATGTGATCATTATGTACTGTAAATATGCACTAATGAAATTTTTTTTAAAAAACCAGGAAGTTAAATCTTGAGGCCTTACTTTGCTTCAAGTACTGTCCTAGGTCTGTGGATATATCAGTGAATGACAACACTCTTTTCCACCATAGAACTAGAATGGAGTCCAGTAATTAATAACACAGTAAGGAAGTCATACAGTCATTAGAACAGGACAGCCATAGGTAAGAAAGAAATAAAGTAAGGCAAGCTGAAGTTGTCTGGGTACTCAGTTAGTATAAGCAGGTCAGGTGTCACTGAGAAAGTAATATTTGAGCGAAGATATAACAGGCAAGGGAGTTTGCCAGGCAGATGTCTGGTGGACAGCATTCGAACCAGAGGGAGTGACCAGAGAGGGTGTTGAATAGTAAATAGGCCATTGTGACTGGAGCAGAATAACCAAGGAAATGCTGTAGTAAAAGGCAAAATCAAGGGGCTGGGGATTTAGCTCAACAGCAAAGCATTTGCCTGGCAAGCGCAAAGTCATGAGTTCGGTTCCTGGTACCGGAGAAAAACCAAAAAAAAAAAGGCAAAATCAGGACAGTATCAAGTAGCCAGGTGACATAGGGTCTTATGGGTCATTGCAAACAAAATCTTTAAGTAATATGGGCCTCTATGGCATAGTTTTAAAAAAGAACTAATATGATCTGATGTGTATTTTAGAAAACTCACCCTAGGTGCTGTGCTGAGGTGTAAACCTAGAAGAGAGACCAGTTTGGAGGCTTCCATATAATCCAGGTGAGACACGGTGATGCTTGATTCATGTCTCTCCCAATAGACTGAAAGCTGCTATAGAGAAGATCTAGCTTATCCAAACCAATCTTTCCAACCCAGGTTCCACCACAAAGTAGGTGTCCAACAGGTATACTCTAGATAAAGGGATATGTAACTTCTGCATATTACAGAAAGCCACTGAAGCTTTCAAAAGAGGTTAGGATATAGCGCAATCAGCATACAGGGGAGGGTGAAATTGTGTTTAACTTGTGGAATTTATAGTGGCAGAAATATTTCAGTAGAATCAGTGAGGCTGGCAGCGATGATGGTGATCATAACAAGAGTAGTAAAAACAATAATAACTTCTATTTATTGAGGAAATACTACGTTCCAGGCTGTGTGCTCAATTCTCTGCATGTTTCATTAATTATCAAGACCAGAGAAAGGAGTCCCCGACGTAGGACCTAGGAAGTAAAATCCTGGATTTAAATAGGAAGATGATGAGTTATTTCATTTTGCTAAAAACCGAGCTGCAACAGGGGAGTTGGAAAAATAGGTTGAGCTGGATGATGGAAAACCTTAAATTTATGAAGTTTACTTGTTTATTTAATGTGGAAGCTACAGTTTTAAAACTAAGCTTGGAGAAGATTAGTATAACTCTTAGATTACCTCTGGATCATTGAGCTAGAGCATAAAACTAGATAAGCAGTTGTTTCTAAGGTCAAAATTACAGTTTTATCATTTGGAGGCACTGATGTAGAAAACAGAAAAATGACACACCCTAGTATTTGTATGAATCTGTGCATTTTGCAAAGAGCCCTTGCCTATGTATCATCCCACTTGATCATCACCGCAACCCTGCTAGGTTGCATTGTTGTCACATTTTATGAATAGAAATGGTTTATGCACAGGTAATTGATACGATCTAACCTCCAGTAGATACTCCAGAAATGTTAGTTGAAGTTGGAAAATAAAGGAGCACAGGCTTAGAAAGCCTAAGCAAATCACCCAAAGTCATATTACTGAAAATAAGAGACAGAGCCAGTGTGTCTGAGTTTGAGCCCGATTCTCTTTGCTTACACACTAACACCAGAAAGCCTCAGAAGTTGTAGGAAAATTGCACGTGAAAAAAATCAAGCGCAGTGCTTAATAGCCAACCTAATGCAAACTCCTCATGCGGAAAACATTAAATATTATTTGTTTTGTTTTGTTTTTTTGTTTTTCTTCCAGTACCAGGAATTGAACTCACAACCTTGGGCTTGTCAGGCAAGCACTTTGCTGCTGAGCTAAAGCCCCAGCCCCCAACATTAAATATTATTTAGTAGTTAGTAGAAAATTTAACTTTATCTTAAGGGCTCCTGACATACATATATTTACATCTACACTGTGTATATGTGTCTATATATTACATACTATACACGTGTATGCGTATGAATGTGTGTGTATATGTGCTAGTTTCTAGAGATTCCATAACAAAATATCACATACTGAGTTGTTTATTTTTTTTATTTTTATTTTTTAATTTTTTTGGTTTTTCTCCGGTACCGGGAACCGAACTCACGACCTTGCACTTGCCAGGCAGGCGCTTTTGCCGCTGAGCTAAATCCCCAGCCCACCCCCAGGTTATGATGAAGTGAGCTTTGTTGCTTGGTAGCCCCTGGAGCTCTGCCTCTGAACACATGAGCCCCGTGTGGACATTTTAGGTCT